GGGCGTGTGTGCATCTTTGCTCTTTCTCCTCTGCAGAGTCAGTTCTCAGTCTAAAATTAAAAAGCAGTCCTGTCCCCTCTCCCAGTGGGAACTGAGAGTGCAGGGGACTGTTTAAAAGGCAGGGAAAGCCATTAGGATGAAAGGCAGCGGGCATGCAGGCGACGGGGGAAGCACCGCTCTCAGATGTGGGTTTCTTTTTACCCACTCACCCCCTCAGTGCTTTTTCTGGTGCTTTCTTCATTTCTGGACAGCAGCCCTGTCCTGACCCACCCTGGTCTGCTTCACTGCCTGCCCGCCAGCACCCCCACCCCAGGTGGGCCCTCCCCGCCTGCCTACGGTGGTAAAAGAGTCCCTCGCAGTCCTGCCTTCCATTACTGACGCCCAGATGCAGGACTTCTGACTCTGGCTGCAAGTTCGCTCAGAGTAGCAGCTCAGAGGGGCCATTTACCTCCCACTGTGTTCTGGGCCAGCTGCTGCTGGGGCTCGGGAGCAGCTGGAGAGCAGGTCCTGACTGACTGTGGGGGAAGCCACGCAGGGTGTGTGATGGGGCCGGGGCTCCGGGAGAAACTGAAGGGTGGGGTTAAGGGTGGAGAATCTGGCTGTACCCACCAGTGTGGGGGACCCCGGGAAGAGGAGCTCCTGTTTTCTGTCCCATGGTGCAGTCCAGATGGAGCTGCCTTTCCTCAATACTTGGAAGCTGAGGCCCTCTGCAGAAAAAAGTCAAGGCTGACAGGAGACAGGGTCAGGGATGACCCCATGCTGGTTAATCAAGAATGGATTGCCAGATAACATGCAACATGCAAATACAGCACGGTAGAAACTTATACTAAAAAAATTACTCTTTATAAGAAATTCAAAAATAACTGGGCATCCTATATTTTTATTGGCCAAATCTGGCAATCCTATCTCCTCCCCCAGCTGGATTCCTTCTTTAAGTAATAATTTTATTGAAATGTAACATACAAACAGAACAGAGCACAGGACCGTAAGTGTATGGCTTGGCGATTTCCATGTGGAACCAGCACCCAGATCAAGAAATGAAATGTGAGCAGAGCCTGCCCCCACCATGTGTCACCAGTATCCCTAACAGCTGGTACTGGCCCATTATTGTTCTTTGTATAAGTGAAATCATACCTATATATTTTTTAACGTTTTTATTTATTGATTGAATTTAGAGGGAGGGAGAGAGGGAGGGAGAAAGAAACATCAATTTGTTGTTCCACCTATTGATGCATCACTGGTTAATTCTTGTATGTGCCCTGACCAGGGATTGAACTGGCAACCTTGGCATATCTGGATGATGCTCTAACCGAGCTACCTGGCCAGGGCCACACATATATTCTCTTGTGTCTGGCCTCTTGCACACGGCACCGTGAGGGTCATGCAGGCTGTTGGATGAGCTTGTCGGTCGTTTAGGGTCCTTAGCGATGATCTTTCACCCATCCCAGTGGTGCGGTGCTTCTGCCTTTCTTGTCTCTCCGTGCGTGCCCGGGAGGACTGCTGGGCCGTGCGGTAGGCACGCAGACAGCTTTAGTAGATCTTCCAAACAGTTTACTGAGTGGAGGCACCAATTTACGTTCCCACCAGCTGTGTGCAGGCCCTGCTGCCCCACACCCTCCCAGCGCGGGGCCTGCTCCTCTTTCGAGTTCATTCTGGGGCGTAGTGGTACCGCCTGCTGCTGCCTCTTTTCTCTGTTTAACCAAGAGCCTCTTGCTTTGTTGATTCCTCTGACTTTCTCAACTAAGTGCTATTGAAGAAAATAAATGAGGCCCCTGGTTCGGCTGCCAGCCTGCCCCGCCCCCTCAGTCCCCAGCACCATGGGCGCCTGGGCAACCTTAGGCCCTGGGGTGGAGGGTACAGGGAAGCCTTCAGCACCAGCTGAGGAGTGGCTCAGTCCTGCTGCCCAAAGCACCTCCCTAGGGGAATGTCATTCCTGAGTGCTGTCCACAGCGTACTGTGCCCAGGTCCCTCCCTGCTTTAGTTCCCGTGCTGCCTCTCCACACTGTGAGGTCCCTCCACAGTGCTGTCACCTGAGGGCGGTTCTCTGAGGAGCCAGCTCCAGCCCAACAGTTTCCTCCAGCTTCAGGACCTCTCCTTGCTTTCCCTGGTGGTGGCTTCCCGCAGGAATTAGGGCCTGCGACCACATCAAAGTGCATGCTAGGGGCTGACATCTGCCTGTGGTGGGGGCGACAACTGTGGGAGGGGGGTGTAGAAGATGTAACCTCATGGCTGAGGCTGTGGCAGGGGAGCGCGGGCGGAGGAGGGGCCCTAGACCCCTCTTCCCATCACCTCTCTCCAACCTCTAGTCTCCACTTCCGTCCCCTCTTCTCTTTTGCTCACTCCAGCCCTCAAGGACTCTGGAAATCAGAGCCCCAAACATTAGCATCTTAAATTCACATCAGAGGTCTTCATTCCTGAAGAGAGGAGATAGCAGCCCCATCATGAATGAATCATGACTGTTTGGTGCTAGACTCAGAAGCCCAGCTCAAAATGACTCAAGCAAAAGGGACTCTATTGGCTCATACAACCAACCAACTGACCTGCCGATTGAATGGTCCTGGGGCTGGTGGGCTCTGGGAGCTGGCAGGGCGCTCTCTGTCCTGTTTGCTTCATCCTTCAGGCTCTCCCACAAGGAGGCAGATGGCCACCAGCAGCTGTAGGATCACCTCCTGCCAAATAAGTGGCCCTGCTGGAAAGGCACACACTCTGCTGACTTCCCAGGCCACTGCTCAGTGGTTCAGTCACAGGGACGGTATTGAGCCAGGCCTGCCTGGCTCAGGTGCCCACCCTGGGAGCCCAGGTCTGGGCTGGATGGGAGAGAGGTTCTCCAAAGGAAAGTCACTGGATGCAAGGTGAAAAACAACAGCAAAATGTGGCCTTGCTGTGCCAGGTGACCCACCTCCCACTCCCTGCATGGGCTGCAAGGGTCTAACCCTGCAAAGGAAGAAAGGCCAGGGCCTTGCAGAAGGGTTGACATTTCCTCTCTGCGTGTATCCATAGGTAAGTGTAAGGACAGAGAAAAACAGGAGAGAACACTGCTGTGCTGGCCTCTGGAATTGCCAGTTACTTTCCTTTTTCCTTTTGCTTATTTTTTAACTTTCCCGTCATCCATGTTTGAGTACTTCTAAAATAAATAAATGCTGTAACCAGAGGAGAAAGCCCACGGCTCCCTTGTTTGCCTCTCCTGTGGTGGGTGTCCTGCCACACACGACCGTCAACACCCCTCCTCTCTGAATGTCTCCGTCTCTCTCTCCCCTCGCAGGCAGCTACGAAGCCAGCTCAGCCTCGTGGTCATTGCCCGGCTGCTGGACCAGCCTGAGACACTCACCCTCTGGCAGGAGAAGGCCCACGTGAGTTTGCGCCTCTGCCAGGTGTGTCCGTTGGGGCCTGGGAAGCCAGTGGGCTAGTCCCCTTGGCTGTCCCCTTGGCCTGCTCGATCCCATGCTTTCCCCAAAGGTTAGGAGCTTCAGGCCAGGAGAGCCAGGCCGAGTTTGAATTTTTTACTCATATTCTTGCATTGGACAATTACTTCTTACATGCCTCCTGTGTGCTAGGCTCTGAGGATAGAGTGGGGAGCAGGGAGCATATATTACGTTCTTTTAAAATTGTGTTAGAGTATATATAACATAAACTTTACCATTTTTAGCATTTTGAAGTGTCCAGCTCAGTGGCCTTAAGTGCATTCCCAATACTCTGCAGCTGTCCCCACCATCCAGCTCCAGAACTTTTACATCTCCCCAAACAGAAACTCTGCCCCTGTGAAACACTAACTCCCACCCCTCCTCCTGCAGCCCCTGGTATATCATTATTATTTTTAAAGAAATTGCACATATATATATGCTTTTATTGATTTTTTTTTAGAGAGAGAGGAGGGGGGGGAGAGAGAGAAACAAACATCAATGCAAGAGAGAAACATCGATCTGCTGCCTCCTGCACAACCCCTTGCATGTGCCCTGACCAGGAATCGAACTGGTGACCCTTTGGTGCACAGTCCAACCAACACTCCAACCAACTGAGCCACAACAGCCAGAGCTGTTATATCATTTTTATATGTGAAAAACAAATACTGTTCTATTGAAACTGCACCCTTTCAGTGACCCTCTGTGCCAGTGTCAGGCATCCTGTGGACAGTGGGGAGGCAGCCTTGTGTTCTTCCCATTCCTCTGCTTTCCAGAAAGCTGTGACTACAACCTCCTTGCAGTTCAAAGAACATCTCTCCAGGGGCCCTGGGGCAGCCTGGGTCACAGCCAGCCCAGGGTGCATGGCAGGGAAGCTGAGAATGCACTCACCCTCCCAGGAATCTCCCTGCAACCCCAGAAGTGGTGCCGGGTATTGCTGACCCCTCCAGCTCAGCATTGAGACACACAAGACAGGCCTGGCCAAAGGCTGCGTGTCTCTGGCCACTGGAGGTGCACAGGCCAAGCCTGTGTAACCCCTCACCCAGAGTGCTGAGAGAATGTTCCAGCACATTCCAGGCAGGGTGGACTATGGCTGAGTCTGACATTGTAGGGACGGGCTCAGCAAGGTGACCGGTCAGGTTGGCTTGTCAGAGCACGCCCAGCCTGGCTTTTGCCCTGGCTGTCCCCTTTGCCTTAAATGTTCTTCCCCTAGAACTTAGCAGGGCTGGAGCTTCTTGTAATTCCAATTCCAGCTGAAGGGTCACCTCCTCCAAAAGGTCTTTCCTGATCACCCAACCCAAAGTACCCTGGCACTGTCACCCTGGTTTTAAATTATTCGTGGTGTTCACCTGATATTTTCTTATTTGTTCAGGGTCTGTACACACATGTATACACATGTGTACACACATATACACACACACACCCTAGCAGCTCCCTGAGTGCAGGGACCAAATGGCTTCTGTTACTGCTGCCCTTTGGTACCTAACACAGTGCTGGCCACAGAGGACCTCAGTGCACACTGGTGGGTGCACACTGGTGGAAGTGAGTTGCCAGTAAGTGAGCAAGGAGAACATTCTCCCTTCAGAGACCTTGGGAGGGATGGGAGAGGGAGTAGCCTGCACAGGGGTCACTTCACAGAACATCTCTGTGAAGAAGAGAGGGAGCAGACAGTGTTGAGGGGGGCGCCAAGTGGTTAGGGGGCAGGGCGGGCAGAGCTGCAGCAGGGAAGAGGGGGACAAGACCAAGTGGTCCCAGAGGGATTAAGAGGACCACCTGGTAGAGAGGCATTGGTGGCAGCCAGAGGGAGTCACCGAGCCCCACGGACAACAGCAAATGTCAGCAGGGGGCGGGGGCCTCGGGGAGCAGCACTGAGATCAGGGAAGGCAGGACAGGCTGCAGACGAGGGGTGGCGGATTGGGGTGGCCGTCCTCCAGCAGCATTTGGCAGTGACTGGAAAGTCAGAGGTGACTCCAGCGTCAGCATCAGTTCAAGGTTTGGGGTTTTGTTTTACTTTGATTTTATTGACCAAAGCCTGTGCGTGGGCCAGCGAAGGGAGTGCGATGGGAGGCCTGCAGGCCCTGCTGGGGGAGAGGCCCTAGAGGAGAGGGTGTGAGCCAGGCGGCGGAGGCGGTGAACTGGCTCCTGGAGGTGTCCTGAGCCAACCTTGAAGGCTGAGTCGGCGCTTGTGCTTGTGCCGAGGGGGGCAGTACAACTGTGCAAGGCCTGCCAGACGCCCAGTAGCTGGAGGGAAGAAGGGCCCGCTCGGGCCTGTCCACGCGGCCTTCAGCCTTCGTGTGTTTCCCCATCTCCACTGCCAGCCCGGCTGCTGCGCTGCCTCCTCCCAGGTCTCTGGCTGCAGGCGCTCCCCTTTCCAGTCTGGCTTGTCAGACGGATCCTCATGAAACACACCTTCAAAGGACCACCTCAGCCCCACAACCGCCCATGTTCAGCCCACACGCCCCCTCCCAGCATCTCTGCGGCCTGTTCCTCTCGGCCTCCTCGCAGGCCAGCTCAGCCTCTGCACGCAGCTCTGTGCACATTTTTTCCTTTCACCCCTCACCTCCCAGCTGAACAGAGGTGGCTAACACGCTACCGGCACTGGCTGTGTCCCAGGGCCACCTCAAAGCTTACCTCTTTCTCACAGCAGCCCTGGGTGGTAAGGACTCTGTTTATCACCCATCTTTTACAAATGGGGAAACCAAGGCAGCTGCAGTTAGGAAAATTCTCAGGGTCACACAGCAGCAAAGTTGTTGACCTGGGATTCAAGCCCAGAGGCCCTGGCTCCAGAGTCCTGCCCTTGACCCTGCAGCGAGCCATCTGTGCTTCCCCAGCCCTGCCCTTGGCTCGCACTGTGGTGGCAGCCTGGACCACACCTGCCACTTCATGCTGCAGGTGCCTGCTGGTGCCTTGAGCTTTAGTCCTGAATGGCAGGTAGGAGGACACAGGCCATCCCTCCCTCGTCCTTCATCAATGCACAAGTGCTTGTCCAACTTTATCAACTGATTCACTAGGAAGGGGGTGCAAAGGCTGAGAACTGACTGTGGGATGAGTGCTGGGCAGAAGTCCCTGAGGCCTGCAATGCTTGGCTCCCTATCTCAGGCTGCAGTCTGTGGCCCTGGGAGCAGGAGTAGGTGCTGGACAACTGAAGTTGAGGATCAGGACTTCTGTAGGAGTTCAGGACGCAACAATCCCAAGGTGTGCATTTTCCAGGAGAGTATGAGGGTCTGATTGTTGCCTGTGGTTCCTAGGACTCCCTAGACCATCCCAGAAGCAGCAGGGTTTTGTCCTCAGGCATCAGTATGCTCCAGACGCTTCTCAACTCACTGAAGATACAGCCCTGAAGAGAACTCAGTCCCTCCCTAGTGAAATTCATGGTCCAGGGCAGGATGGACACAGGGACCAAGGAAGAAGTAAATATTTGACATGCCAGGTTGTATTAGTGCTCTGGAGAAAAATAAAGCCAGAGAAGGAGGAGAGGACTTGTCGGGAGGATGCTGTTTGATAAAGTTGAACAGGGACATTGAGCACAGACCTGAGAGAATCACGCAGGTTTCTGGGGAAAGCAGTAACACCAAGTGCAAAGGCCCTGGGACAGGCAAAGGCCTCTTAGGTTGGAGAAAAAACAGAGAGTGGAGCAGGAATGGAAGAGAGGAAAGTGGGACTCAATCTGCCAGCACCTCCAGGCCATGGTGGGGGCTTTGACTTTCATGCCAAAGTGGAGATCCATTGGAAGGTTTTAAGAGGAAAAACATCATTGATTTATAAATTTTTTTAATTTATTCTGGCTGCTGTATTGAGAATAGACTACTGGGGGTGGGGGAGAAGGAGGTGATGGCAGTAACCATGGTAAGAGCTGATGGTGGTTTGGCCTGGGGAGATAGTGGCATAGGTGGGAGAAGTGATCAGATTCTAGGTATTTCCCAAGGACAGCCAGTGGGACCTGGGATGTGAGAGAAAGGAGGTGAGCAGGGCTCCAAAGTCTGCACATCTGGCAGGGTGGAAAGGCACTTGACCGAGACAGGCAAGGCACAGGTGGAACAGGTTTGGAGGGAAGTCGAAGTTTGTTTCTTCTCGAAGGCCACCTCTTGCTACACAGCAAGGCTCTTGGGTCAAGCCATGTCTTCCAGTCTGGAGTTTGAAAAACAAGGGCTTCACATTGCTGACGTCAAGGGGGTTCGGGTTTGATCTATAGGGAAACTAGCTGCAGCACTGCCCGGCTATTTACTTGTTAGTTCATTTAATGAATACAGATTAAATATGTACCAAGTGCCAGGCCCTGTGCTAGGCTCTGGGACACTGAAGTGAATGAAACTGCTCTCGTGGGGCTTACATTATAGTAAGGGAGGGGGGAGCAGATAATAATAAATAGGTAAATTACACAGCACATTAGAAGGTGATAAATGCTATGGAAATACAAGGAGTGCAGATTGGCGACTGGTGGGGGCTGGAGGGCTGCAGGTGGCCAGAGAGCTGGGCAGACCTCACCAAGCAGGTGGGCCTGGAGCTGGGGCTGGCAGGAGGGAAGGGGCAGTTGTGCAGTGTCTGGTCAGAAGGACCACTCAGCATCCAGGCTTCCGGAAGCAGCAGGGGCCACCAGGGCATCATACACAAGTCCTCCTTTGAGCAAGTAGGAGCAGCATTCGGGGTTGAGCGCAGGAGTGACAGGCAGAGTGGACAGTGCCCACGCTGGACCTGGCCTGCCCCCTCTCGCCAGGCAGACTGTTGAGACCAGTGGAGAGCTGCCTTCTTGGGTGATCATTTGTTTCTGGCCTGAAGGTGTCTGTTCTCAAGAGCTGAATGTTTAGGGAGCAGGCTTCCAGAAACTAGGGCAAGGTGGGAAGATGTGCTGTCAGGCCCTGGCCCAGCAGGGACCCATGCAGCCCAAACAAGCCCTTATCTTGGAGAGAGGGGGGCTGGTTGAGCTGGAACCAAAGGGAATAAGCAATCAGAGGGCGAGGCTCGCTGCACTGAGCGGAGGAGCTGTTTTCATGGAGTGAGAGGGGAAACATGCAGCTCTGTTTGTGCTGCTCTGCCCAGCCCTGTCCAAGGCTCCCTGGCACGAGGGTCCAGCTGGAGCAAGGCTGCCTGCCTGGGGACTGCTCTGGGGGCCCCAGCTGCAGAGCGGCCCCTGTGCTTGCACAGTTGTGAGTCCTGAGCAGGCAGTGCTGCTTTGGAAACTCTCCAGACTTGCAGTGACTGAGCAGGGTGGCACACTTGGTTTTGGTGAAGCTCCAGATGGTGCCTCTCTTCACTTAGAACCTTCCCTCCCTCTCTCCCTGCCTCCTCCTCTGCCCTCCTGACAGGATCAGACATTAAGCCAAGAAGCCCTGGCTCCCTTCCAGGAGCCAAGGCTCAGGCCTGACTCCTAACCCTCAGCTCAGCTGCTCTTTTGGGCTAAGCCACAGCCGCTGGGGTGCTGAGCAGGTGTCTGAGGGTGAGTCAAAGGGAGGAAGCCAGGTGTGCTGGGCAGGGCTGGGCTTAAGCAGGGAGCTAGGCTCAGGGGCTCAAGCCCTTGCCCTTTTGGCCACCCTGCACCTGCTACATCTGAAGAGATGGTGCCTCTGTGAACTCCCCTGACTCTGCTCCCTTGTTCTGCACCACTACCACCCTCCCCAGGGCTGCATGTGGCCTCAGAGGGACCTGGGCTTGGGCTCAGGCTCTGAGCCTACCCGCCTGCCTGCCCTGGCCACAAGTTAGCTCCGGGGGAGCTGGGTGGTCCTGGTCAGGGCTCAGCTGAGGCTACCCGAACCAGGTGCAGCGGCTGTGGGAAGGATTGCTTGCTGCAGACACCTGGACTTACATGGACCACGGTCCGGAGGGTGGGGAACACTGGCCCATTTGTTCAGAGAGATGGGCAGTTTAGATGTGGGGTGGGACAGCTGGCAGATTAAGTGACATTTCAACCAAATGCAAGGTGTGGACCTTGTGTGGAATCCCCATGCCAACAAAGCAGCTATAGAGGACATATTTGAGACAACCAGAGAAAACTGAACACAGGTGTTAGATCATTTATGGAATTCATTCTTGGTAATTTTGTTGGGCAAGAGAATGGCATTATAAATAGTGTTGGTAGGGAATCCGAATCCTTTTCTGTTAGAAGCTCTCTGTGGGTAGAGTGACGTTTGGATTTGCTTTAAAATTCTCTGGAAGGGAAGTCGGGGAGTTGGGGGAGTTGGGAGAGTGGAGGCTGAAACAGCAGCAGCATGATGGTGGTGCGTCTGCCCTGCTCCCGGCAAAGGCAAAGGACGGCGGGGGAGTGGGGGTCCTACACAGCTTCTCTTCCTCCCTGAGCCCTGCTGAGGCCCCACAGGAGCAAGTTAAACGTAAAAAGAGGGGTGCGGGAGAGAGGGCCCAGGGCAAGTGGCAGCCAGGGCAGGCATTCTTCCTGGTGGTAGAGGGACCCTCTAAGCCACAAGTATCTGCTGACTGCAGGCAGGTGGGCTCAGCATCCACCCACGAGCTCTTCCTGTTCTCTCGGCTAAGGGGGCTCGCCCTGTGCCAGGCCCTGCAGCGTGACTGGCACCCTCCTTTTTGCTCAGAAGGCGTGTACTTATCTCCACCTTACAGATAAGACTCAGTTTCCAGGCGAGAGGTGGATCCAGGGCCTGGGAGCTGGCGGTCTGGCCCCAGAGCCTACACTCTGAGCCACCACTGCCAGCTGGGCATCCAGGCCGAGTCCCTGAAGTGCCCCAAGCACTCAGCTGCCTCCCATCGTGACTGATCGCCTCTCTCCTCCCCAGCTGGTAGTGCTCAGCCAGCTCCTGAGCCTCATGAGGCCATCATCCCTCCAGCAGTACCTGGACTCTGAGACCTTGCCACCCTGCCAGGAGCAACAGCCAAAGGCCAGTGCTGAGCTAGATTACAAGGTGAGCACCCAGCACCTGCTCACCTCCACGAAGGTGTTGAACCACAGGAGTGGGTAAGGCAGGGCCGTTCACCTTTCACCCCTGTGGGCCCTGAGGGGAAGGAGACTGGCAGGCTTCCTCCCTCGGGTGAGTAGGTACTCACTGTCTGGGCACAGGCTGTGATAGTGCCCTGGCCCAGGCCCCACGCTGTGGGGCGCTATGTGCACAGGCCCAGGCAAATGTCCGCTCACCTTGCTCCCGACTCTGCTGTGCCCTGAACATCTGGCCTGGCTTTGTTGGCCACAGGTGCACCATAAGTCTCACAGCACTGTTTAGAGAGGATGCAGGAGCAGAAGTGCTGATGAGGGCAATGGAGTGGGAAGGGACACAAAGGAGGAATGAGGGGAAGGTCCTGACCCAACGATGTAGGAGGCCCCCTGTTCTCTGAAGGCAGCACCAGGTTGACTGCCCTGTCCTAATTCAGCACAGTTTTCACTGAGCCTGAGTCCTTGGCCTTCACCAGTTCTTCCTGCTGACTTTCCAGGCATTGCCCAGGTTCCCTGAAAGCCCTGCTTTGGCAGGAGTCAGGGCAGTGCAGTCCCCCAGAGCTGCAGGTGTGGGGCTTGGAATAGGGAGGCTGTGGCCCCTGCGGTGAACGCCAAGCAGGGGTAGGTGTTGGGGCTTCAGACTGGATTCCCTTCCTGGGGAGCGCAGTGATGTCAGTGAGCAACCCGCCCTGGAGACTCCAGATAAGAAGTACAGATAGGCACCTTCCTAATTTAGGAAGGTGGTAATCCCAAAAGCTCACCGGAGGCTGGGTGTTGACAGTTCAGAAGTCTAACCTTTGGGGATCATCCTGCAAATCAGATAAATGAATTAATTACTTAATGAACACAAATGGACCATTAAGAAGGTATGAGAGCCCAGGTATGTGCTCTCTCCTAGAAGGCATGGAGAGGTTGTCTTTCAGCTCCACCTGACGTTAATGCCGTTATCAGGCTGCTGCCTCCAGGAGCCTGTGAGCGCACGTGTCCCTCTCTCCTGTGCCAGCTACTTCCTGACACATGGAGCTGGCCATGGCTGAGTGGGATGTTCGGGGTCAGCCCAGGATGGTGTCTGAGCAGGGCACTGGTGGGCAGCCTCAGGCCTGGGCAGGGAGAAAGAAGAAAAAGAGGGGAAGGGGAGGTAGAGGAGGGGCTGTCTGGTCCACCCTGAAGAGTGTGACCTCCAGGCCCCTTGGGGCCACTCCTGTGACCTCACCTAGTGGGGGAGGGTATCCTTTATTTTGAGGACTGTTCTCATGCGTATAAAGGAGTTCTGAAGTATCCCCTTGGTCAGTGGTCATACTGGAAAGGACCAGTTTGGCCTGGAAACCTGGAGCGGCTGGCGAGTCTCAGCACCCGACACTGGGGCAGAAGTGTCGAGGGTGCTGGTCAGGGCAGTGGAAGGGGCACGGGGTTCTCAGATGCTTTTGCTGTAGCAGGAGCCACCCGGTGGGTGGCGGTGGTGGCGGCAGGCGGCAGGAGGCAGCAGGCAGCTCTGTTCCTCACCCAAGAGGGAGGGCGCAGGTGAGGCTGGTGGGAGGCCCTCAGAAGACACAGAAATGGGAAGTGTTCTGTGCCCTGGGCCGGGTTCTGCTCTGACCTGGAGGGGCCAGGTGGGGCAGGTGACTGGGCTCCTGCAGCCCAGCCCCACTCCCACCTCGGCCGACTGACTCCTCATTAGGCCCCAGAGCGTTTCATCTTCAAAGATGATCAGGCTACTCACCAGCCAAAAACAGTGGAGGCGTCAGCCGCCCTGTTTTACGGGAGTGGTGGTCTGGGCAGCTGAGCCTTTCATCCCCAAGCTCAAAGGCTTGGCCTTCTTTCTCCTGAGGTACAGCGGGGAAACTAAGGCCAGAGCGAGGTGGAAATGGGGATGGGCCCCGGGCCCTTTCCCAGCCCTTGGGCCCTCTCCCGCAGACCCTGCTCACTCCTGTCTGGGTGATTTCCTGCCCTAGGAGGCTGCTGTCTGGTGGCAGCCCTTCTCCAGCCCTGAGGGGATAAACACTTCTGCCAGGCTCCACTCCCTTCTTCCCCACCTCCTCTCTTTGCCTGGGGCCTTGGCCCAGTCTCCTCTCTCCCCTGTGACACTCCCAGCCTCCCCCCAGAAGGGGAGAGCTCCTCTCTGCTGACCAGGGCATGACTTTCTGTCCTCACTCGTCTTGTGGCTTTGCAGTTGTCCCTTTACTTGTCCCTAGCCAGACTGTGGGCACAGCCTGTGTCTCCCAGCATCATATGGTAAACTCGGCACTAGATGAGTGAATGAATGAAGCAACTTTAATTCCTCTTCCTCTCTCCTCTTCCCATCCCCCCATTCTGGCTGTCCAGCCCCGCTTCTGGAGACCTCCCTCCCTCTGTGCACCCTCTGACCAGCCTCTGTATGCTGGTCCCTTTGTCTCTAAAGTCCTTGTGTCATTAGGGCTGCAGGGGTTTGTAGCCTGGGCTTCTGTGAGGCACTGGGCTTCACAAGTGTCTCCTGTTTATGAGAGAACCAATCAGAGAACATCGTGTGTAATTATAATCTAGTGAGGTTCCTACCTGGAAAAACAAACCACCAAGTGCCCCCAAGGAGACAACCTGCTCCTAACACAGCCCTACAGTAGGGGGAAGGGGTGGGTAGGGAGGGGAGGCTGGCCGTCCTGCACTGGCTGTTTGTGTCCTAGAAGATCACCACAGAGTTTGTGAAATATAGGATCCTGCTTCTGGACGGGGTGATTAGAATACCTGCAGCATTTTCTAGTGCTTTTGGATAAAGAAATAGTTGCCCAGCCCTACCAGCATGGCTCAGTGGTTGAGTGTCAACCCATGAACCTGATGATCACAGTTTGATTCCTAATCAGGGCTGCAGGCTCCAACCCCTGTGGGGGTGTGCAGGAGGCAGCCGATAGATCAGATCGATGACTCTGTCATCATTGATGTTTCTGTTTCCCTCCCCCTCTCCCTTCCTTTCTCTGAGATTAATAAAAACATTAAAAATATATATATATATTGCCCAGCCCATTGTGGGTGAGACTATTTTGAACAGAAAACAATTAAAGCCCAATAAACTCAGGAAGAGTTTGTTACCTCCCCCTTTCCTGCCTAGGGATTCCGATAGAAAAACCCGCTTCAGAAAGGGAACCTTAACACATAGGAATGAAGTGTGGCAGGCAGGGAGGAGCCAAGCAAAATCCCTTTCCTAGGTTCCCCTCTGTGTCCCACCGTTTGTGGGTGGCCAGGCAAGAATGTGTTTACCAAATGTTTGGTCATTCTCAGCTATCTGTGAATTGGCCACCTCCCCCTCCTTAGTCCAAAATGGCATAGATACCTCAGTTTGCCTCACTGTCCTTGTAATTTTTATGTTTATGTGAACTCCCCTTGCACAAGTATTAAGATTTAGTTTTCGCTCTGGCCAGTGTGGCTCCATTGAGCGTTGTCGAGTGCACTGGAAGGTCACCAGTTCAATTCCCAGTCGGGCACATGCCCCGGCGGCCGGTTTGATCCCCAATCGGGTGTATGCAGGAGGCAGCCATCCATGGATGTTTCTCTCTCACATCGATGTTTCCCCTTCTCTCCCTTCCTCTCTCTAAAATCAACTTTAAAAAAAAAAAGATTTGGTTTTCTCCTCTTCTCTGCTGTAAGTCTTTCGAATTCTTCCACCAGCCAGAAGATCTAAAGGGCTAAGAGAGAAGTTTTCCTGCCGCCCCCCCCCCCGGCAGTGGCTG